ACCCCCTAGTCTCCCTCCGCCTACTCCAATATGGTGTTAGTGAGTGTTGATGAGGTGTATTCCATGGCTGTAGTGAGCGGGCAGTGCGGGCATCGTCTGGCCTATGCCAACTGATGCCACCACACCACCCCACTTGCACCCACAGCCCTCAGTGTCTAAGTGCAGTTTAAAATTGGAAGTGGGCACCGGCACTTGGGATGAGGCTGAGAAATTCCCCTGCCAACTGCCGTTGAATGTGCTCACTCTAAAGGCCCTAAATGAGTGTTTGTGTGGAATGTCGTCAGTGGAAGTGTATAAGGTGCAAATAAAATTGGGGGGCAGGTTGCCACAGGAATGCGGAAATGGGGTCCATACCCATACTCCCTGACTTGTCCACCCCCCAAGGTCCTATGTGTATGTTTGTGTGATGATGTGAGGGAGCAGGAGGAGAGAAATGTGTGGGGATGGGGAGGAATGGCTGGTTGGGCTTAGCCCTCCAGGGAGCCAGCTCCCCCACTGGCCCCAATAGGCACCTCTGTTGTCAAAATGCCACCCAGGGCATGGAGACCCCAGTCCATCCTGCCAGGGCCCAAAGCAGCAGCATCACAGAGCCTCACAGAGTCCGAGGGCACCAACCCAGCCCCACCCCCAGCAGAATATCTACGCCCATCCCTGCATTTGCACAACTTCCACATTATATAAGACATAGGACATCCAGGTAAGGTTGGGTCCTCCCCCCCTGGACTTCTCCCTCCCCTGTGATGGGACAGCAGAGGAGCCAAGGTCTACCTGAGGCCCCTGAACCTGAGCCAGGCACTGCCGCATGTTCCTGCCTGCTCCCCGGCAGCATACATGTCAGGACCCGACCCCCAAGGCCCCGCCCAGCTCCCCCCACGGGGCCGGTCACCCCCACACCCCGAGCCCCCAGGCCCCCACCCAGACCTGCCCAGGGGAAATGCACCTGCCGGGCAGTGACCCATGGCCACCGCCAAGACCTCCAAGGGGCCCCACTCACCACTGCCAGTAGTCCACCCCCCGAGGCAACCCAAGCACGTCCAGAGGGGGGCAACAGCCCCCCAGTCCCAGACACCACCGGTGAACCCACCTCCAGGGAACATCTGGACACTCCAAACTCAGACCCTCACCCACACCATCCCCTCACCCACATCATCCCGCAGGACAATATCAATGGTCCCCCGCCATCGCTATGTGATGGAACCGATCAGTGGAGCCCAGAGAGATTGATTTGAAGAGGAAGCAGAGGCTAAATCAAGTGTAATATGATCTAACAAAATATTTCTATATTGGTTGATGCAAAGAGTATCTCTATTTTTCCAATTCAAGAGGATAGTTTTCTTAGCGATGCATATGGCAGTCAGAACCACGTGAGCCAAAGATGTGTCTTCTAACTTTCAAGGCTTTTGTGTGATTATGTTTGCATAGATAAATTATCATGTTTAAATGATGAATTCACCACAAGATAAGAAGTGTTAACCACCGTTTTGTGACATCTGATGAAGGTTTAGAACATTCTTAAAGCTCACTAAGCAGTGGTCTGTGTGCAGCTTTAAAATGCCATCCATCCATCCATCCATTTTCGACCGATTATCCGGGGTCGGGTTGCGGGGGCAGCAGCCAAAGCAGAGAGGCCCAGACTTCCCTCTCCCCAGCCACTTGGACCAGCTCCTCCAGGGGAATCCTAAGGCGTTCCCTGGCCTGCCGTGAGACATAGTCCCTCCAGCGTGTCCTGGGTCTCCCTTTAGGCCTTCTACCGGTTGGACGTGCCCAGAAAACTCATCAGGGAGGCTTCCAGGAGGCATCCTAACCAGATGCTCGAGTCCTCTCAACTGGCTTCTCTCGATGTGGAGGAGCAGCGGGTCTACTCCGAGCCCCTCCTGGATGACCGAGCTTCTCATCCTATCTCTAAGGGAGAGCCCAGCCACCCTGCGGAGAAAATTCATTTCGGTCCCTTTTATTTGTGATGTCATGCTTCCGGTCACTGCCCAAAGCTCGTGACCATAGGTGAGGGTAGGAACCAGGGGCGGCGTTAGGCCCGGCTACTTGGGCTGAAGCCCCAGATGTTTTATGAAAAGCCCCGGATCTAAATCGCGGAAGTAACATGCAGTACCAAAGTCCAACAGAGAGGGAGCAGATGGCAGTAGTTTGTATACAGCCTGCCTGAGCCTCCACCACTGAAGAAGAAGCCCTTCAGCAGCCGGCTTCTTCTACACTCTCTGCCTGAAACGCATGAGTGAAGATGGACATAAAGGACATTTTTAGACCAAAAGTTCAACGACAGAGCCCCAGCTTTGATGAGACTGGTGTTGACTCAGGTTTGTGAGTCTTATTTGAAAATATTTGTTGTGCTACTGGTTTGCCTAAAGTTAGCTTACTATCAGGTAAAGTTGTTGGAGAAAGAAAGGGAATATTTAACATCATCTCACACTGAAGACTAACACGAACAATACTCTGCCCTGAAAATGCTTAATACGTAGCTTCAGATTAAAAATTATGTGGTACAAGACATACATGATGTTGACTAGTGCATGTCACGTGTGCGCGCACGCACACACGTGCGCGCGTGTGTGTGTTAAGCTCCGGTTCTTCTTCAGTCCTAAATCCGCCCCTGGTAGGAACGTAGATCGACCGGTAAATTGAGAGCTTCGCCTTCCGTCTCAGCTCTCTCTTCACCACGACAGACCGGTACAACGCCCGCATCACTGCAGATGCAGCACCAATCCGACTATCGATCTCACGCTCCAGTTTTCCCTCACTCGTGAACAAGACCCTAAGATACTTAAACTCCTCCACTTGAGGCAGGACCTCATCCCTGACCCGGAGAAGGCATTCTACCCTTTTCTGACTCAAGACCATGGTCTCAGATTTAGAGGAGCTGATTCTCATCCCTGCTGCTTCACACTCGGCTGCGAACCGCTCCAGTGAGAGCCAGAGATCACCTTCTGATGAAGCTAACAGGACCACATCATCTGCAAAAAGCAGAGACCTGATCCTCAGGCCACCAAAGCAGATTCCCTCAACTCCTTGGCTGCGCCTAGAAATCCTGTCCATAAAAGTTATGAACAGAATGTGTGAGAAAGGGCAGCCTTGGCGGAGTTCAACTCTCACCGGAAACGAGTTTGACTTACTGCTAGCAATGTGGCCCAAGCTCTGACACCGGTCATACAGGGACCTAACAGCCCGTATCAGAGGACCTGGTACCCCATACTCCTGAACTAACCCCCACAGGACCCCCCGAGGAAAGCTGTCGAACACCTTCTCCAAATCCACAAAGCACATGTAGATTGCTTGGGCAAACTCCCATGCACCTTCCAGGACCCCCTAAGGTTGTAGAGCTGGTCCAGTGTTCCACGGCCAGGACAAAAACCACGTTGTTCCTCCTGAATTCAGAACAATTCCCAATCTGGCTTTAAAATGCCTGTATTGCAAATGGTTTTGTTAAAACCAACTTATGAACAGTTGCACAAGTCTTGTTGCACTGTTGCCTCGCAGTAAGAAGGTCACAGGTTTGAACCCCAGATGCAGCCTTTCTGTGTAGACTTAGCATGTTCTCCCATGTATTTGTGTACTTTCAGCGGCCTCCTTTAAACTCATCTGTTCAGGCTGGCGTCGTGTGACCTGCTGCTCATCCTCCTCTTCCTAGCTTCCTTTCATGCTGCTGTTTCTGTCATTTCTGTATTTTAATTTTGAAAATGTTGTTCTAATTTGTAATCGTAATTTTTCTTCCTTTTCTCCCATTTTCGATGATGATATTTTTTCTTCATTATTTTTTATTGTTCTGTGAAGCACCTTGTGGTTTTTGTCTAGAGAGGCGCTGTGTAAATTATCCTTTCTTCTTCACCACCGGGGACTGACCAGGATTAGCAGAGGTGTGGACTCGAGTCACATGACTTGGACTCGAGTTAGACTCGAGTCATTATTTAAATGACTTCTGACTTGATAAAATCTATTAAGACTTACGACTTGACTCGGACTTGAACACCAATGACTTGCGACTTGAATCGACTTGCATCTGTTGGCTTGATGATGACTTGAGCATATTTGATATTTTAGCACAAAAGTGGCACGACATGGGCAAGAATCATGAATCATTGTTCGTTCTGGGTGTGATCTTGGTCTGCTAAATGCAGCAGCTCTTTGTTTATAATCAGTTTCTGCTTGTTTGAGCAAATAAAAGAAGCTTTAAGAAGCTTTATTTCTGGAATTTATTTATTATCATTGTCATTAAATAGAAGTTGGACAGATGACTTGATTATGACTTGAAAATTCAGTTCAAAAGTTAAGGACATGGACTTGACTTGGACTTCAAAATCATTGTGTTTGGACTCGACTTGGACTTGGTTGTCTTTGACTTGGACTTGACTCCAGACTTGACTGGAAAGACTTGTGACTTACTTGTGACTTGCAAAGCAGTGACTTGGTCACACCTCTGCATATTAGTGACCTTAATGGGTATGAGTGAGTGTGTCTCATTTGTCTCTGTGTGTCCCTGTGATGCACTGTAGACATGTCCAGGGTGTCCTCCACCTCCTGATAACTGACAACACCAGAGTGAGTGAGTGAAAGCTGTTCACTAAGTAAAAGTATGACCTAAAGTACTTCTTCATCCCATCCCGGGGATGATGTGACATACTTTAGTTTCTACTTTGGTGTCATTGATGACACCCTCTGCCTAGGACTGCTTGAACCGCCAGCTCTCGGCTACAGGGTTGTTGTCCGTGTGCTGGAGCTGAGGGAGTCGGGGGTGTTGACGTGTAGCCTTGGCTCGGCTCCTGGCCCTTTAACAAACACAAGCAAGCAGCGATGATTGAAAAAAAATGTGAATGAAATCCAACCATTCATAAAAAGGGACGCCACTGCCTTGTGATTGGGCGAACCGCGCCTCGCGCATAAATTAAAAGCTACCGCGCCATTGGCTGCTCGCTGAACGGACAGACTGGATCCGCCAATCACAGCGTGTCTCTGCGTGCTGCTCGCGCGCAGGGAAAGCGTCGGGCCGTTAGGGTTTAGGAAAAGCTCAGTCTAGCTGAGTGAGTCCGAGGAGACGCATCGGTGTGTCGGCGGCAGGCGACGCTTTTGTTTGTGGATATTTACAGCGAACTGTTGACGTGTTCAGGAGGTTTTTATTCACATAACCAGGTAAGTTTCACCATTCTTACCACAGGCTTTTAATACTACACTGTTGTTTAGTACAGTTTAAGAATACTACCAAAGTACTACAGAGAAAGTGGCTTTTAAGCCCTTAGTGAGCCCCTCTGAACGGCTTTGGCTCTGCTGCTGTCCGTCCATCAGCGCTGTCAGGAGCCTGTTTGTGATTTTTATGAATGGAGAGCCATCGACACCCCCACCCCCACCGCACACGGCTTCACACGGATCGAGTTTCACTTCATTGACAAAAACAAGGGAGGCTGGGGGTGGGGGGGCTGGCTGAACTTCGGCCCAGGCCAAAGTGGTGCAGCTTCTTTTATCTGGACTCGGATCTAAAAAGTCCATAAAGTTGTTGCTCTTTATGCATTTTTAGTGGTTCAGTCTAAAAAGACCCTAATTATTTTACATCGTTAGAATAAAACGCATAAATAAAACCTAAGCAGCATCTGCTTGGAGCTATAGCTGGTCAGAGTTTGGACTATAATAAGTGCATGGAGCTCCATGAAGTGGTGCCTGTAATTATTTGCCCAGCAGCCACTCTTTATTGGTCATTCATTAACAGAGGAGTGAGTCATGTCACTCTGCTGAGTGAGCTGTGAGAGGAGAGGAGCGGCCTCAGCTCGGTGTTTCTAAAGAAAACCTGTAGAAATGTGCAGCGGAGGGGAGAGGGAGCCAAGTGTAACACTCTCACAACAATAGCTCCAAGCCTGTTGAAAGCACTAATCGCTTCTCTGATCGGCTTCTTTCTGTTTGAGAGGCTTTGTGATGCAGTTGATGGCACGGTTTCCTCAGTGGGACGCTTCTTCCAAGTGCTTCACTCCAGATCTTCCAGCTGATTACAGCAGACCATAGCTGGAGCAGATGGCCGGAGAGTGCTGCTTATGTAACCTGTGTGATCCTGCATGACTGTGTGTTGATGTTTGCTGGATGTGCCTCGGTTCACAGGCGTGTTGGTAGGTTAAATAAGGGGGGATGATGGTGGCCTTGTTGTAGCATCAGAGTGGGACGCAGCTCCACGTCCACATTCCTGTGTAACGAGGCCAGATCAGTGTGAGGACTCGGGCTTCATGTCAAGGTGAACTGGAGTTTCTTCGACTCTTCTCTGTGCTGCTGGATGAAAGGTACCGGTGGAGTCAGGTGACACTTTTCTTCTTTGTTCTCTCACAGGAGTTTACCGGTGCCGGTTTAAAACAAACACCCCTCCTCTCCCATTAGTACCAGAACCCCTCCAGAGTCACCATGGACGGCTTCTATGACCAGCAGGTCCCTTTTATAGTTCCACCCAGCGTAAGTGGACGCACTTGTCACCACATGAGGGTGGGGGTGACATCCTCTGTTGTAGGTTGTGACCTGACGTTTCTCCTTCTGCTACTTCCCAGCAGCAGAAGTTGCATGTGGAGGAATCGTCTCACGGCTCGTCCCTGAATGACCGAAAGAGAAAGTTTGTGGAGACGGAGCTTGCCCAGGACACAGAAGGTAAGACGGCTGACTCAAACACGGGTTCATGTTCTTTACGTGACATCATATCAACATCTTTTGACCCACAGAACTGTTCCAAGACCTCAGTCAGCTGCAAGAGATCTGGATCGCTGAAGGTACGATCAGCATGTTCTGTCGCTCTTCATCATTGGTTTTCAGAAGCTTCCAATTTTTTGTGCAGTAAATGCGACAGTAGAGCGGTTGTGTCTGAACAGGAGCGGCCGCAGCTAGATGTGCTTTTGGCAGCTCGTACAGAGATCCTCTCTGCTCACGACTAAATGAAATTGAGCAACTTTGACCTCTTTAAAGTTTAACTTTGTGAGAATATCAGACGCCGCTGTTTTCAGCTGGCAAGTGGAGCAAGAAGAGCAAAGTCCTGTTGATGACAAAGTGCTGACCGAGATCTTTTTTCAATTGCTTCACACACACACACACACACACACACGCGCGTCGGTGCTGGTGTGTGTCTTCCTGACGTTTTCTACACCTGTCTGTACCTTCACAGCCCAGGTGCCTGATGATGAACAGTTTGTTCCAGATTTCCAGTCAGAAAACTGTGAGTACCTGATTGTTCCTCCTCCTCCTCTTTGATTTTTACCTCCTCGGCACCATCCTTGTCCGGATTTGCGGGTCGGACCGCAGCTCAGGGAAAGCCTGCTCTTTCACTCCTTTCATTCTCCCCCATTTTGAGTTTAATCAACCGATTGACATGAAGCATCACATGAGCCGACTTCCTAATCTGATTTCACACTCCTTTGCACTCGGCCCCTGCCGTTGCGCTGCCTCTGGATTGGGCTACGTGCCAGTAGTTAGAGCTGTTACAGTTCTGCTTTACACACCGTTAGCCTGCGGAGAGTCATGTCCGGTGCTGCTTCTTACTTTTTAGTTTATGTTTTGGTCTGATTGGTGGGAGGTGGAGATGGGGTGTGGCTAGTGTGGTTTATCAGGCTTCAAACAACCCTGCAGCTTCTCAAGTCTGTGCTTGTTTCTATTCAAGCCCTCTTCCAGGTAGTGAGCGGCTGTGGGTTCACGCTGAGGTAACCGTCTGGTGCTGCTGGGGGGCCTTTTCTCCAACACATGATTTATTACCCTAAGGCACAGTGAAGCGCTCCTTTGCTTTCACCTGGAGGATGTTAATCCATCCACCATTACTTACTGCTCAGGGGAGCTCACGTGCACATCTCTGGCCCTACTAGGATCCATCAGCACGCTGAGAGATTTATTCAGCCCCTGCTGCTCTGTGCTCCTGTATTTAGTTTCCATGCAGCTATTATGTGGCGCCCCGGAAACTGCAGCCAATAGACAAGAGAGCTGCAGCCAATGTCTAATGGTTACAGCGCACGAGGAGAAAACCATTCACTGCCATTAGATTACAGCTGCTCTGATTCATGGGTATTGTTATTGACGAGCCCTAATAGGAATCAAATGAAGGCTGATGGCCTCTGTGTGTGCAGCACAGCTACTTGCATGCTACTAGCTAGCAGTGGTGGTTGTTTTCAGGGCCGTCGGCCATCATCATATCTGATGATAAACAGCAGATAAGTGCTGTCAGGGGAACACAGACATTGTCCATGCATCCGTTTATGTGCTTCAGATAACTGCTGCACTTCTGTTTATGGCTTCAATTAGCTGAAATCTGGACTTGATCTAATGCAGTCCGTGGTCTCATCCTGTTCAGTGATGTTTCATGGCCCTCCACCGACCAAGATCAAACGGGAGCTGACTTCCTCCAAAGAGCTATCTCCCTGCAGCCAGGACGGGAGTCCCATGCCCTACGGAGAGAAGAGCCTTTACAGCTACAGGTACGGCTACAGGACCACCCATCTGCTGGGTGCGGTGTTCATCAGGTTAACTCTCTTCTTCGTCCACAGTGTCTGCGACAGGAAGCCTACCGCTGTGTTCAAGCCGTTGACCCCGCCCTCCACACCAGTCTCTCCCAGTGGCCCCAGCAGCACAGTCCTAACCCGGAGCCCCCCTCCACGTTGCCACATAGCCGCTCAGAGCACAGGGCCAAATCCACTGCAGCAATCCTCCAACCAGCAGGCTCTCCCAGTGCACAGCCCCCCCTTCGCTGTGCCCTGTGCACCTGTTGGCCAGGATGCAAACAGCTTCACACCTGAGCACAGGTAAGCCTCTGTCTTTGTGTCCCACGGTCCAATTGTCGGTCTCAACGAGCAGCTTTTCTAAACAAGTGTCCTCTTAAAGGTTCCAGAGACAGATGTCAGAGCCATGTTTGTCCTTTCCTCCATCTGACAACCAAATCCACCCGCGGTTCCTCTCGCGGCCCACCAGCAGCAGCAACTTGCCCCGTGACAGCCGGCCGCCGTACCACCGGCAGATGTCAGAGCCGTTGGTGGCTATGCCCCCTCAGGGCTTCAAGCAAGAACTCACTGACCTGCAGTACAGCGAGCAGGGGGTCCCCTCCATGGGCCCCCCATGCCCACCTCCAGGCCCTCTACGACAGCCCGCTTACCACCCAATGGCCATCAAGCAGGAGCCCCGTGACTTCTGCTTCGACTCCGGTGAGTACTGGCGCCTTTTCAGAGTGGGGGTCTTTCCACGTAGTTCAGGCAGATGGTGAGGAATGTGCCTCCATGTTTGTTCTCGGTGCTAACGCACATCTGTGAGTTTTGACATGCAGCAGTTAGCTGGACATACAGGTGCTCATTCACATGCTTCTCTAACCCGGCCAGTGTGGTCTTCTCACATTCATGGGTCTCTTGGGTTGGTATTCAGCAGAGAGGGCAGCATTTAAATGAGTCTGTGAGGCAGGAGCGGAGAAGCTTAGCCTTCCTAGAGAAGCTCTAGGCTTCTGTCCTTTGAGGACCGAGCGGCTCGCAGCACGGTAGTTTGAGACATGATCTCGGAAACGCTCTGCTTGCTTTACCGCAACGTACAAAGGTCCAGATGAGGCCAGTCTTCCTTAGACTGGCGTGACAAACGGTCATGGTGGAGAAGCCGTTAGCTCTTATCAAGCGAGCCAGAGCGACTGCCTGGGTTTTGTTTGACCTGAGCAACCCCTAACTTATCCACACACCTGGCCGCTGGTCATTAACCGCCTCTCTGGCGAAGTTCTGAACGTCTCTTCTGCACTTCTCACGCTCACGTTCGCTCTGATTTAGTGCTGTGGGTGAGCTGGCTGGGTCATGATGTAATGACAAATCCTCTTAGGTTCTTATGGCCTTTAAACGTCTACTCCACAGTGACCACACGTCTCTAGACAGAGGGAAGATGTTTATGCCGAGTACACGAGAGGTCCCGTTTTTACCCGAACGTTTGCAGAAAGGTTGCAGTTCCAAGTCACATTTCAGAGTTTGTCTTTGGCAGAAATAAGGGAGGGTTCAGGATCATTAGGCAGGGAACAGGGTGGCTGCCGAGGCTGGTGTGTGTGGCAGAGTGGGGAAAAAACTGGTGGAACTGGAAAAATTACACGAAAAGGTTCAATATTCTCGACTTGAATCAGCTGATGAACCTAGAACACCTGCAAAAGGTTCCTGAGCCTTTAGATGGTCTCTCAGTCTAAACTGGATTAATGACATTAATGGACTTTTGCACCAGAGTCTCCTTTTTCCAGTTTCACCCGTATGTGTGGACCTGTTGGGGGCTAGCAGGCACGGCGCCAGTCCCAGCGACAGGCTTGGAGGGCATGTGGCTGACGCTGTGCTCTGACGTTAGCGTGTGAGGTTTTAGTAAACCAGACTCTACGTAGTGATGTTTTTCTTCTCCATCCACAGAAGTGCCTAACTGCCAGTCATCCTTCGGGAGAGCAGGAAGCTTCTACCGGAATAATCATGAAAGTGAGTTAAGATCTGCTGTGTGGAGCCCGTCCTCTGCGACTCTGGATCTGGCGTCTTCTGAGCTGATAAAACACCAACGTTGGTGTTCACTCTGCTTTTGTGTCATTAATGCTGCGTTTCTTGTGCCTGATTCCAGGCTGCTGCTTCGACAGAGATCCTCAGCTGTACTTTGATGATACTTGTGTGGTTCCTGAAAGATTAGACGGTAAGACGACGCACTCACCTGGAGCTAAGAGATATTAGAGTTGAACTGTGCATGGTGGATAGCTGGTGTACTTAGTCCCCCTGGCAGGAATGTCTCACCACACTGTGGCTGTGCTGGAGCACATTTCTGATTAAAATGGCTCCTCCCCCCACTTCTGCCTCTTCTCCTCTCTTTATCCTATATCCTCTTCCACCTGCAGGCAAAATAAAGCAGGAACCTTCTGTTTATCGTGACGGACCTCCGTACCAACGTCGTGGCTCCCTTCAGCTCTGGCAGTTCCTGGTCACCTTACTAGACGACCCCGCTAACGGCCACTTCATCTCCTGGACAGGACGAGGCATGGAATTCAAACTGATAGAGCCGGAGGAGGTGGGTCACCACTTTGTGGAGCCGCGTCTTTTGCTGTGTGACGCTAGCAGAGTAACAGCCTGCGGGTTTTATCTGCGGGTTAGGTGGCACGTCGCTGGGGCCTCCAGAAGAACAGACCTGCCATGAACTACGACAAGTTGAGCCGCTCGCTGCGTTACTACTACGAGAAGGGCATCATGCAGAAGGTAAGGGGGCACTGAGGGTTCTGCTGGGTAAAGGATTCTTTATCATTTCCAGGTCTTCAGTGATAACTTCAGTTATCTAAAAGAAAGCCTGAACTCGACTTGTGTGTCCAAATGTCTTCTGTTTCGTTCCTCAGGTGGCCGGTGAGAGGTATGTGTACAAGTTTGTCTGCGACCCTGAGGCTTTGTTCTCCATGGCCTTCCCCGATAACCAGAGGCCCAGCTTGAAGGCCGACCCAGACAGCCTACCTGGCCTGGACGAGGACACGGTGCCCCTCACCCACTATGACGATGCGGCGTCCTACCTGCTGGATGCCGGGGAGCCGTGTGTTGCTGCTCTGCCCTTTCCAGATGGATACGGCTACTAACTAGTTGGCGTGGGTCGCAGCACATAACACACATTCACATGCAAACCCTCCCAAGTCTCTCCTGATGCCCACTCTGAAGATCCAGAGCTGGAGCTGTGAAGCTACCTGGAGGAAAAGACTTCTGCTCCTTCTTGGTTCCTTCTTCTGCTCTTCGGAAAACTCTTTGAAAACTTTGTAAGCTCCACAGCTCATGGAGAGGGATGAAACTACGATGGCTCCTCTGCTGTACGAAGAGGCTCGTAAACTGGAGCTTCCCAAAGCAAGGCCTGGGCCCATGTTGCCATAGAGACCAGTCGAAGTGAGGTCACAGGCCAGTAGCTTCAGGTGGACTGACAGATCCATATGTACCAGAGTGCAAGAGTCACCACACGTCTCATTTTATGACCATTTGCTTCTCTCAGGTGGGAGGAAAGCCCTTTAACTCAGCACTCTTTTATCTGCTGTTGGCTTTCGGCTCATCCAGGTGTCTTGTCTACATTGAAACTACGAGATACATGAAAGGGCTTTAATGGAGCTAATGAAAACCTGCAGCATGTGAGGAGCACACAGATGAGTTTCCTGTAGATATGACGATCCTGCAGCTGTTTTAAAGTGTCTCAGGTTTTGGGGCATCGCTGTACATCAGGCTTGTTCACTGGGCTGCTCTTGTCTAGATGTTCATTCCCATCTCCAGGGTGTGCAAAAACACTCCCACCTTCCCCTTTCACAAGGGATTCTGTTCCACACACGGAGAGCCTGAGAAGCTTTAGCAACACGACCGTTTCTTCTGTTTTCAGTCGGTGTTTTACTTGAGTGCTTAATGTGTCTTCTGCAGTTGGCTCATTACTCCGGTGCTCCAGTATGGCGGGAGCACCTGGGGTGCTGCATGCAATCAAAGTGGGGTGACGCGCGTCCACCTCACTCTGCACGCTGTAAGTCGATCCGTTCGCATATCTCCACTGATTTTGCATAAAGAAACTTCTGATATTCTTTCAGTGATCAACATGTTTAACGGTCAAAACAAACGTCTATAAATCATCTATTTTTGCTATAAAGCTGTGTGTGTGTGTGTGTGTGTGTGTGTGTGTGTGTGTGTGTGTGTGTGTGTGTGTGTGTGTGTGTGTGTGTGTGTGTGTGTGTGATGCTGTACCCCCCCCCCCCCCCCCCCCCCCCGTGTGATTCCTACACTGTCGGGTTTCTGATGAACTGAAATGGAACAATAAAAGCTCCTTAATGCTTCACCACCTTCAATCCTGCTGTTGTTTTTCTTTTCTTTTTTTTTTTTGTTTGTTTGTTCCTCCTGCTCAGGCAGCCGAGTCACCTGACAAGCACTTGGGTCCTGTAGTCATTACCTGACCTGTGTGGTTTCTGAGTCACATGCCTCTTCTGGTACATCGCAGTGTAAATGATTACTCCAACTCGTGATGAATAAGTTAGCTGTGTGAAAGAAAATAAACTTGCTTTCAACACCAAGACGTCACAGAAAACTGAAGTACCTGATAAACATCCGTTTTTAATATAAGAGTTCAATAAAGAGGACAAACATGAAGACTTCTGGCCTTAAGCAACAGAACCCATCGAGGACAGATGGTCCTTTTTAGTTTTAAACTAAAACACATATACAGCCTTGCAGGAATGACTTCCATAAACACCGCCTCATATCACCACAGGTTTGTGTGAACCTCCAAATGCACAGTGGTCGACTGGGCTGCTGGACGATCCGTTGTAAAGGTCACTTCTTTTGGACTATGCTCAACATGTTCAGTGAACAAGAACTCTCCTGCTGTTGAGTTGAATGTCAGAGTTTTCTGTCTTATGAAGGAAGGCCTTGGTAGCAGTTTGATCACCATGGTAACAGGGGCTGGTCTCGTCACCTGCTGTGAAGCATGAGCAGGCAAAAACAATCCCCAAATGAGATGTAATGATCCATGGCAGCAAAAGCTACGCTGAGATCTAACGGAACAAATCTGGACACCAGTCCATCTGCTGATCTTCGCCAACGAGGTGTTTGCTGTGATGATCTCTGAGCGGGACAGAAAAAAAGCCCAGATTGTTTCTGAGTCAGTACTCGCACACCGCTGCTTTTCAGCCACTTAGCTAAGTTGGTGTATCATGAAAGTAGCACCAAGCCCAGTAACACCGTTAAGATCAGTTGTCACACACACTGGTGTGTGGTGAAAACTGTCCTCCACATTCGACCCAGCTCCCTATGGGGAGCAGTGAGCTGCAGACATGGCTGTGCTCGGGAACCATTTGGTGGTTTAACCCCCAGTCCAACCCCTTAAAGCTAAGTGTCGGTCCCGTTTTTGAAGTCTAGTGTGACCTGACTGGGAGGCAGACGCTCTGAGCATGGCTGTTGGACCAGCTTCTGGTACCTCTGGCAGTGATGGCTGGTGCCACGTCCTTCTGGAAAATAGAATCTGTATATCCATGAAGCATTTCAGCAGAAGGAAGCGGGAACTTTTCTAAAATGTTCCGAACGACATCTGCATTGACTGTGGACTTCAGAAACCACAGCGGACCCACACCAGCAGGTGACATGGAGCTGACACTTTAAGCCTCTGGGACCTTGATTTTCAAATGATCTTCTTCTACCTTCTCAGTGGTCTAGTGGTAGAGTGTCCACCCTGGGACGGGGAGATCTGGGTTCATACCAAAGACTTTATTAATTGGACCTAATGCCTCCCTGTATGACACCATTGGGAGGTTAAACCACCAAATTGTTCCTGAGCCCAGCTGTGGCTCACCGCTCCCCACAGGGATGGGTCAGGTGTAATTTCACCAGTGTGTGATGACTAATGGGACTTTATCTGAAAAGAGAAGTTTGGAGCACTGAGCAGCAGTTCAGGTGCCTTTTCAGGGGCCTCATTTACAATACGCACAAAACAGGGTCAGAATACTAAGTAAGTCATTTTCTACACAAACTTTGTGATCGATAAAGAAAAGCTTGAAAGGGAAATGTAAGTTTTCAGCTGCTTTTAAAGGAGACCACTGAGTCCACTGATCTCAGGCTCAGGGGGAGAGAGCTCCAGAGTCTGGGGGCCACAGCAGCAGATGACCTGTCACCTTTGGCCTGGTGCGCTGCACAACCAGTAGGCTTTGATCACTGGACCTCGGTTTACACCGAGAGCGTGAGCTGCACCTTGTGGCAGCGGCACGGCCCCAGGATGCTAATAGAAGCTGTTTTAGTTTATTGTTTGGTTGACACTGGATGCTCTGTGGCACGTGTCGGACAATTAATGCACCAATGAGGGCCATTGATAAATAATTTGAAGACATGTGTATGAACATAGACATCTTAAATGCAAATACAAATCTCCCAACGAGTCTTAAACTCAGGTTCAAGGTGCCAACCAAGCAAACCCCTGTTTGGAATGGGATGCAGCAGATATGATGAGTGTTGTGTCCGTGTACTGAGCCCTAACAGAAGGGTTGGCTGCAGGAGGCCTCTTCAAACAAGCAGCACAGCTTAAGTTAGCAAGCTTGCATCTGAACAGATGAAAATATTTTAGGGCATATGTGGCCATGGTGGAAGTTATGTTTCATAATCTCTGGAGCAACATTTGAAGGAGACTGTAAACATCTAACCCTAAACCAGGAACAGCAGCGGAGGGCTGTTGCTTCTGCAGTTTATCTTCTTGTCTATTCTTGCTTTTTTTTATCACAGCTGATGCACCTGGTTTGTTTTGTTAAGTCCAACGCGTGTCTTGGTGTGTGAATGCTAGCGTAGGGCTGAGATAAGTCTGGTGGCTTTTCATTATTACTTTGTTTCCCAGCATCTCTTCTGCCTGTGGCCTCTCTATCTGCCACGTCTGGCTCGCAATGCCACCAGCCGTTAAATCGGTCTAGAAGTAAAGAAATACAACAGAAGAAGCTGCATGTTATGAGATGTGATAGAGCTGTGAAGCTTTAGCCTCCGGCTGGCGTGATGGCCAGCAGCACTCTTCTTATCGATGAGTCAGAGCTTTATCAAACCACAGAGTGTAAAAGCTGAGCTCTGGTCTTTAGTAACAGCCAGGCAGGCCTCCTTCTCTGATGGGCATAGCTGAGTGTCTCTGAATGCAATGAAAGTCCTTTTAGTGCACCCATGAGGGCTGCCCTGCCCTCCTAATGTGTGTGTGTGTGTGTGTGTGTGTGTGTGTGTGTGTGTGTGTGTGTGTGTGTGTGTGTGTGTGCTCTCAACAGATGCTTTTAATAAAGCTTACTCTTCTCTTGAAGCTGATGGTGAAAAGCTTGAAACCCTCTTCAGAGAGTCATCGCTGATTGGTGGCAAAGACACACGCCTGTCACCCTTTGATAACCGTAACAAACAACATGATCTGGTGACCAAGTCATGTTATAAAATCTTTCTGTCGGGCCTCATTTACTCTTTTGATCATGTATTGTGCTCGAAAATGACATTGGTGGTGTTGTTTCATCCATGGTTAAATACTTTAAGAAAAAATTGTCTTAATAAACCACAACAACATTTTTAATTCCTTGTGTTCCTTCCTTCTTTATTGATTAGATGCAAGTTATCTCCACACCAGTCCTACTATAGTTGTTCCTCCACACAGAGTCAACAAATGTCATGTTCTGGGGGAGGTGTCTAACCCAAGACATGCAGAATCAACCCAAGACACAGACTGATGAGAAAAAATAAGATTTTTAGTTTTGAAACGACAACTGAAAGCGCACTGGGGAGTCCAGCGGACAGGGAAACAGGAATGCAGCGTCTGGAAGGGAAAGCAGAATGAGGTGAGTCCTGAGGAGTAAGTCAATACTGGATGGTGCAGAGTAAAGACTTACCGGGTTGTGTGGGAATTGGTCAGGATGGATGGATGAATGTGGCAGAGTGATTCAGGAGTCCTATGGAGTGGTGGTGAGAAAATCCTGATGTGTCGAGACCTGAGGCGGGTGAGCAAAAATCACAAAATCACACAAGTCCAAGAGTACAAGAGTTATCAAAAAACCTGATAGCGAGACGAGGGCTGGAAACTACCATACAGTAGCAATCATCTTTATGTTTATGTATTTAGCAGGCGCTT